CAGTCCTACTCTGTCTTTCTCACATTCTCTTTATACTTTCTCCATTCTATTCTCTTTTACCCCTTTAATTTTCACTTGTAGGCAGTAATTATGATTGCCTATAGACTATAAGCCTAAAAAGCCATATATCTATCTAATACCGGAATTATAAACCTAACCTATGTATACTTATAGCCTCAAGTGTAAACACGTTTTACCTATAGACTTAAGTATAAAGACCCTCTATGTCATCCTAGATTCCAGTATAAACAGTACGTGTAAACTCATGCGACAAAAGAACAGTTAATAACCCAAACGAGGTACATATAATGTAAAATGTACTAAGTAAACAACAATCACAAGTTATCTCAAGTTATATGAACTATAAATAAGTTTTTTTCTAAATTATTAACCATAGATTATTCTAGCACAAAGCTAAGACTGTGACATAACTAATGAAGATAGAGTTCATTCTAATATTATTTTCAAGAAAATCAGTAAAAAAAAATACAATTCTCCGACTGGCACAACGTATATCTAACTATAGTCTCAAATATAAACAAGACCAACGTATATCTCTAAACTACAGTATATAAAAAAATATGTCTCAACTATAAAGCGGGCCTATGTGATTTGTCTAGGTTCAAGTGTAGGCAGGAATTATATCTACCTATAGACTAAGCATAAACAGTCTTATATCTACTTACCACCGTATTTTCCGGATTTCAAGACGCGGCGGCATGGAAGACGCACCTTAATAATGGAAAGATATTTCTCCGAAAAAAAAAAGGAATTCTCATAAAACAATACATCACCATGCGTCCCTCACACACTGGAGCCACGTATTGTTTACATTAAACGCTCGTCCGATTTTGTTTGTATGGCAATGACATACTAGTCAAGAGCAGAAACGCTCCCGCCGCTGGTAGTAAACAGAGCATGTTTAAGCTTGTGGCTCGGCTCCAGGAAGGTTTATAGTCTTGGAAGTATTTGTAACAGCTAAGTACGGAAGTTACATCAAATAAAAGGCTGAAATAGCTAACATTGTAGTGTAATGACAGACAAATCAACGTCCCTATCAGTCAAGCCAATCTCCTTGACCGTAAAGCTTTCTCTTCAGCCCAGACGTTTTACTTTATTTCCTCTTTCGAAGACGCACACGTCTTTTTCTCTTATTTTTTCATCCTGGGATAGTGCGTATCGTAACCCGTAAAAAAGCCTTACTTTAACTACAAACAGGATCGACGTTCTCTTCTAGACTCAAGTGTAGACACGACTTAAGACTACCTTCATACTTAATTATGAACATTTCCCATGTTCTTCTATACAAGTATAAACACGATGAATGTAATTATGACCTATGATTACCTAATATCTCAAGAATAAATACGCGTTATATCTGCCTAAAGTCTGAAGTATAAACAGGATGGCTATAGCTCTCTAAGCTCTAGTATACTTACGGTATATGGCTGCTTATAGACTAAAATATAAACACAATCTCGATTTATCTATAAGCGCTCGTTTAAACTGCACCTAAAGCCTGAATTATTAACATTATTAACATGCCTAGTGTATACCTATAGACTCTGGTAGAAGTATGTTTCATCTTAAATAAAATCAAGACCTATTGCCTCAAGTATTAAACAAAAACTACATGACCATCTGAAATAAAATCACGACCTATTGCCTCAAGTATTAAAAAAAAACTAGATGATCATCTGAAATAAAATCACGACCTAATGCCTCAAGTATTCAAAAAAAAAAACTAGATTATCATCTTATATAAAATCACGACCTATTGCCTCAAGCATTAAAAAAACTAAATGAAATTGAACATAAGATAAGATGCGTTAGGTTTTACTCCCAACTTAAGAACTCTCCTATCTCTCTAAAATTTTTCGCTTATAAGATTCTTTCTTTCACTGGATGTCTCTCTCTCATCGTCCAACTCGTTCAGAAACGCCTAAACTGTTTCTCTCCTTCTCCTTTGATATTTCTCTACCTCTTTAATGGTTTTATATCTCTTTCTTTCGAAATGAATTTCTTTAGGACTTAACGAATACTATCCTTCATCCGTCTCTAGAAACCGAGTCGACAGAATAAAAAAGAGGTTCACGAAACAACAGCAAAAAACACAACACTTCAAGGCTTTCAACAATAAGAACTAAAATTGTCAGCACATCCATCTAGAAGAGGAAAATAATGATATAATCAATACGTTGACTGTCAATGCTAACTTGAAAGTAAAGTCTGACACTAAAAGAACAGACAATGTCAGGAGTTCCCAACCATTTTATGCGTCATCTCTCACTTTCACACGAAAATAAAAATCCACTACCCACCTGTATAGTAACTATTCAAAAGCATGATAGGTAGATTATATTTTGACTGGTACTTTTCCTGATTTCGAGATGGCCAATGGGATAAAAAAATTAAAAACAATTTTATATTAAATAAAAATTATCCTAAGATCACTTTTAAATGTTAGCGGCAAACGTTTTTTAGTCTTCTCTTATCTGATTTACATCCGAAAAAAAGTATAATTTAGTCTGAAGAACTATTTGGATTTTGATGACTCTTCTCAGAACTATAGAAAATAGATAAAATATACCTTGTTTGCGGGGAAATTTATATCTTATCTAAGAATGTGACCTATTAACCGTATTAAGCCTCTTGTTATATTTTAGTACAGGTTATTTGCATACATCCTTCTTTTTTTTTCAGGGTAGTATATGTTAAAATGTATTTTTTTATATTCCAAATCATATATCGCCCAAGAAAATTTCCAATCTTTTTCTGTTCATTTGTCAACAGGTGAAATCGTCCACAGGCGGGCTATAACGCCCAGGTTGGAAATCCCTGCTCTAGGTCTTAACAAGTTAGTTCTGCATTTGGTTGGATTTTCTAAAAAAATCTTTATAGTAAAATTATTTTCAAGAAAATAGTTCTCTCAAGTCCAGTAACTGATACCGCTCTTTTATTTATTAATGGGGGTTTCCATCCTAACATTTTGTTTGAAGTAGTGTGGAACGTCAACATCTTATTGCGCCATTGTTTTTCTTCGGGTTACATGTGATATCCATTTCGGTTGTTACTGCTGTCTAAAGTCCTCAAATGATATGTTTTCTGTTATTTGGTAAAGTTCTTTATTTGTGATTCTGTAGCGCCAGTCCAAGAGGTTTTGCGTCAAGCAGAACATCCATTAGAAGGTCACGAGCTGACGACGCCATTTCAGAAAATAACGAGAGTTTTTAGGTTATTGTTTTGGTTCAGTAGCAATTTGCGGTATTGGGCGAAACTATCTTTGACGTAACCTATTTGATGTTGAATTTCCTTATCTTCTATACTAAATGCGTCATAACTGATACATATACCGATGTAACTGAGGCGTTTCTTACTTACTGATTCCATACCATGTTTTTTTTTTTTGTTTTTTTTTTTAATGGCGTCAGGATATGTGCCATCACTGCTTTTATTTCAATTCCAGATCATAGTTTCTGTTTTGGAAAGGTTTATTTCGACTCCTCTTTCGTGGTAGTTTATATCTATTGTTTTGCTTTAGTTATCATCCTAACTAAATTTTAATCATTTCACCCAAATCAAGACAATAAAGTTGCTAAGACGCAAAGTGTAAAAAAAATAAAAGAATAAGAATTAAGAAAAATTAGTATTAATGAGAGAGGACAATAAAAGAACTGGCATTAAAAAGACAGAAGATAAAGATTGACAATGCATTCAATTTTTTAAAAATCTAAAGCATTCAAGCCACTAGCATGCAAGGGGTTACTGAGTGTTAGAGAATATGAGAAAAACTACTATTAATGAGAAGGGACAATAAATGAATTGGAATTAAGAAGACAGAAGATAACGATTGACATTGCATTTAAATTTTTGAAGATCAAAGGCAATAAAGCCACTAGGATGCAAGGAGTTACTGAGTGTTAGAGAATATGAGAAAAACTACTATTAATGGGAGAGGACAATAAAAGAATTGGAATTAAGAAGACAGAAGATAACGATTAAAATTTCATTTAAATCTTTGAAGATCAAATGCAATAAAGCCACTAGGATGCAAGGAGTTACTGAGTGTTAGAGAATATGAGAAAAACTACAATTAATGAGAGAGGACAATAAAAAAAAAACTTGAATTAAGAAAACAGGAGATAACGATTGACAGTCATTTAATTTTTTAATGGTCAAACTTGAATTGGAAGCAAGAAGCCGGAAGAGAGTTCCAAAAGCAATAGATGAAACTGTCAGCATAGAATTTATGGTTACATCTAATTTTTTCAACTGTTAATTGATAGAGACCTTGCCACCAATCTAATACTGCGCTTAATTTCATAAAGTCAAAAAATTACCATGAAAATATTAACAGAACAGGCAAGGAGAATCTACATTAAGGCGGCTGGAAAGATACTGAAGCTGAGATACCTTGTCAGAATGGATAATTCTTTCGTTTTTATCAAGAATCTCTAAATATATAGCAGAAGCACCAGACCAGATGTGGCAGCAATATTGAAAACAAGGATGAATGGTAGACTTAAAATATGTAAAATAGATTCTTTTTTTGGATTTTTTATCAAGAATCTCTAAATATATAGCAGAAGCATCAGACCAGATGTGGCAGCAATATTGAAAACAAGGATGAATGGTAGACTTATAAATATGTAAGATAGATTCTTCTTTGGATTTTATCAAGAATCTCTAAATATATAGCAAAATCCACTAGGCCAGATGTGGCAGCAATATTCAAAGCAAGGATGAATGGTAGACTTATAAATATGTAAGATAGATACTTCTTTGGATTTTTTCATGAATCTCTAAATATATAGCAGAAGCACCAGAACAAATCTGGCACCAATATTCAAAGCAAGGATGAATGGTAGACTTATAAATATGTAAGATAGATTCTTCTTTCTGATTTTTATCAAATAATCTCTAAATATATAGCAGAAGCACCAGACCAGATGTGGCAGCAATATTGAAAACAAGTATGAATGGTAGACTTATAAATATGT